TGGCAAAACTTGGGCTTTTTAAACATTGAACATCTTTCCTCAATTGTTAAACCTGGCTAAAACTGGTCTAAGAATTTTATTTCCTGTGACCTTTGGATTATTTTTTATACAATTCATCTGCTTGGTTGGTATATTTATTAATTTTTTTTTGAAAAATGGAACTATTGCATTGTATTTGTATAACATGCATATGAGAAAACAAAGCAATGTTTGGAATTCTTCCACAAACATTTGATGAAATTCTACATAAGATAACTATATTGGCTTGCATTTTTTGACCTTCTGCTTTATATGGTACTTCAAAGAGGATGCTGGATGAATATTCACAGGAAAAAGTTTTTGAAATGGGAGTTTGTAAATCCTTTTCCACTGAAACGAAGAATTTTTATAAGTCATAGATTTGCTTAGTTTTTGCAAAAGCGGAAGGCAAGTCCTTGTTTCTTTTTTTGTTCTTTGCCGAAGACAATTAAATACTCGTAGTGTCATCATGGTGAAGCACTTGTATATGGTTTCTGTTTCAACTACTTGCAGTTCTTTAATTTTTTTTTTAACGCTGCATTTGAATTGAAGGATTTAACGAAGAGTTTGAAATCCTCTCAAATTTCTCTAATTGTTTAGATCATGTACGAGAAATTTGGACTTGGAAATTTATTTTAAAAATTAAGTTCATATCATGGACACGAATAGTAATTGCGGAATATTGTGGAGCCTTTTCGGGTGCTATATATCTTATACAATGAGACGAGTTATCCATAGGAAGTGCTTGAATGAGAAAAATGATGGTTTACCAAATGAATAGTGGCAGAAGACAAAAGGAAGAGGAGTGTTAGTAGCAAATGCAAGATTTTAGTGATGATGTGATCAAGCTATATAGGACTATTTGGCATGGTCTTGATCCGACTTACATTAATTGGTTCTGTTTGTACTTTTAAATAAAGTTCATCTCCCAAACTTCCGTCTCAATCAGTAATGACATTAATCATAAAATCACTATATTCTTGATTAGCTCTCAAATTCTCCCTTTTTCCTGTTCTTTTCATCAGTCGATGTGCGACTTCAACAGCTACATTGTGCCTTGTGTAGAAGATTGAAGTTTGCCTTCAAGACCACGATCGTGACCGCGACTTTTGTCCATGAGTTTGATGCCAGTTTGCTTAACAAATTGAAGCAGACCAACCATATTGTCATGAGGCGGGAGTGTTTCCTTTACCATGGGCAGTTGAATTAGAGCTTGAATCCACGAGGCAATGAATGGATTCTTCTCAGGATCTATAATCTTCACACCAAGAACCTCTTCCTGTGCCTTGAAGGCAACTAGATGTCCAACCATCATAATATCTAGCATCCCCAATTTTTCAGCATGGACATGATCAGGACTTTTCTCTACAAAGTAGAATTCCTTCACTCCATCTTCCAAAATTCTCAGCTTCTCATGCACTTCTTCAAGGGCTTTCCCCTGTGCTGCCTTTTCAGTATTGAAGAGTTTAGCCACGCTGTCTAGCAGCTGCAACACGACGAGTTAATGAAGCACATCTATTTATAAGACGAGAGGGAATTTTCTTGAAATGAAACATGAATACCTGTTCGATGTAAGCAGCCCAAAAACGAAATTTGGCTCTTTGATATGGCTCCTGAGGCAGGAGTTTAGTTCCACTAGGCCAGGTTTCATCAATGTACTCAAGAATAATGACTGATTCACATATTGGCTTTCCATTATGAACAAGGACAGGGACCTTTTTGTGAACTGGATTGTATTTGAGGAGCAAAGGACTCTTGTTCCTCAGATTTTCTTCGACATACTCGAAAGGTATGCCTTTGATTTTCAGAGCCAATTCCACTCTCTTTGTGAAAGCGCTTGCCCAGGTACCATGTACAACTACTTTGCTTTCCTCGCACATCTTTCTTTGACTGATGCTTTGGCCTTGGATCTTGCAGTGTTAGGTGCAGTCTAGTGGCTTAATACATTCGCCGCATGATTGATCGTCGACTCTATTAATACACAAAAGCAAAGAAAATGACAAAAACGGAAGCATCTATTTTAAGCTCAAAGAGTCATCAATTGATTGAACCTGTTGGTAAGGACACTAATGAAAGATCAATAGGACATGGAATCTGTATTACTTTTAATGTTATTATCGCATTTGTTTACACGTGTTGTTTTAGTACATACATTCCTTGGTATAATTGAAGTTAGCAAAAGTATATACAGAAGCACCGTATCTATGTATGCATGTAGAAGAGTCTGAGTCCGCACTCTTTTGATTTAAATTCACACTTTAAGACTCGATAAAACATAGATTAAATTCTTATGCACTGTCAGTGCAAAGATTTTTTTTACACTAGTTACTAGTTGGAATGGATATATGCCATAATGTGTACAGATAGAATTTAAAATTTAAATACGCTAGTAGAATATCTCATATCATTGTGTCATGATATGTGGTTTCTTCAAAATTCATGTGGGTGCGTAATATATTCATATGGTACAATGGTAGTTCAGTCTCTATCAGTATCTCCAATTGGCCCAGTTGGACCTCCCCTCCCTTTAGAATAGATTAGAATAGAAGTAAAGTAAATGTTGTCGTTTGACAAAAAAAAAAAAAAATAATAAAAGCTATTGGGCCACTCCATTTTATTGCCAATTGGTTTTAAAATGGAAGTTCAACTTCTTTATCATGGTACCAAAGTTGGATCATGGTTTGTTTGTCACCCCATTTTTAGTTTCACCGGTAGCTTGTATCTTTCTTTATTGGCTCAAACCCATTTGTCAAGTCACATTTGTGAGAGGGAGTGTTAGTAGAATATCTCATACTGATATTCCAAGTATTTTCAGTCATATATAAAAGCTGTTTGATCACCCCAATCATTGCCAATTGATAAAATAAAAATAATAGTTAATGCATCCATCCTATTAATGTAAAAAAAAAAAAAAAAAAAAAATCTTTACACTGATAACTCCAAATCCACACTTTACCTAGGGTAAAAATATGCTGCAAATTTCCCCCCTTCTCCCAGCGTTCACCTTCCGTAGGCCTTTTTTCACCTTTTAGTCGTTTCCCTTTTCATGATAGACTGCGGCAATGATCACTGAGAAATCACCATCATATGTGCTATTTTTGCTTAGATAATGCCAGTAATATGGATTTATGTATAAGGCTTAATCTAAGTGCTTTAAGCATAGTTTCTGATGAGGAAAGGATTCTTCCCTGCTCTGAGTGCCAGGTTGCACATTTTGTATAGAAAATTTGAACCTTTGTCCAAATACTATAAAGTTACAGTTGATTAATAAAATCATCTAACGTTTTGAAGAAAAAAGTTAATTTCATTGTTTATCAATTTTCTTTTAATCTCACTTTTCTCAAGCCAAGCTTTGACCAAATCGCCATACCATTTCTTTGAGCTTAATAGCCTTGAATTTATTATTATGAATCGCACATCCATGATGGTTTTTACCTCTTTTTGTACACACATGAATTATGGAAATAACACATAGTGCTTAATAATATGTTTGCAATCGTTCCCTTAGAATCAAAATATTTCCTATTCATCATGTGTATTGCTTCATTGTAATTTAAGGACCAATACGTACTCCATTGTATTCAGGTATTTTACTGAATAAAAGGAAGATATTGGAATTGGAAAAAGTTCCAAGTAATTACCATAATTGCAAGGGATTTAATTTTAGACATTGGTATTAAGGGTATGTCGGTGAGAAAATGAATGGCGAAAACTCAGACTGACATTTTATTTAGCTTTTAGATCGAAATATACATTTAATCCCTGTTAATAATATCGATACTACCAAAAAAATTAAGAGAATGAGGTCAATTCTTTATTTTTTGTAATCAAAATAGCCACAAAAATGGGGTCTGGGGACAAAGTATATAAATTTTCTATATTAAGGGTAATAAACTATTACTATATCCAAAGAATTTGGGACTCTGGTGTAGTCATCCCCATTACGATAGCTAATAATTCAAAACCAACTATAGTTTACTCTAGAATATTATCTAGCAAATCCCATACCTTTGTGTTCAAAAAAAGGGAAACTCATAAAGTATCACAGCACAGCACTTTGAAAAAATTTCCTAACTTTATTTTGTAATTTTTGCTTTCCAGATGGAGCTACCATTCCTATTATCAATTTCCTTTTCCCAACATCTTACTGGATTTCAAATTGGATACAATCATATTGTTAAAGTTAAAATCTTTGACCTCAAAGAATAATAAATAAAAAAGGGTTTCCCTAATGAGTGCCAAATGGGTACTAGTTAATATACCTACAATTGACTTAACTTACCATATATATATATATGTATATTAACAGTTATTATCCTTACTTGCATTTATATACTTTCCCTCTTTAATCTTATCCACAATTTTTTGTATTTATTCACTTTTCCTAATTAATCTTACATTTAAAAAATACTTCCTCCGTCCCACTTTGATAGTCCTGTTTTTTTTTTTACACAGTTTAAGAAAAAGTAGTAACTTTGTTGGAAAAGTAAATTTAGATTGCTATTTTCCTAAAATACCCTCACATTAAATATGGTACAACTTTATGAGAATTTGAATTGATGGTAAAAAAAGAATCAACTCTCATTAAATGGAGTAGGATTATAGTAACAACTACTTACATTGAATAAGGGTATTTTAGAAAAATTAAAATATAACTACATTCTTCAATTGAAAAGTGGACTACAATTTGGGACAGATGAAAGTGGGACGGAGGGAGTATGACTTGTATTTTTGCACGCCATGTGAGTATGGGCAAATTTATGGCCCCTATCCCGTGTAGAATATTGAATTGCAAGTCTCAACTTAACTTTCTCTTCTGAGATATTTATTGGCTTCATATAATTGATAACAAGCAAAATAAGGGCAGTTACACCAATGAACATCCATGAAAAAGTGAACTCACATTGCAGAAATTTCTTACAAACTACATTAACGGCCACTAGCTGCGACACAAAGCATTAAATTTAGGACCAGAATATAGCTTAGAATTTGAAGCCACTTTGTTTTAGAAACTGAAGAAGCCCAACATAGTTGTCATGAGGAGGGGCAGTTTGCTTCACCACAGGCAGCTGAATTAGAGCTTGAACCCATGAGAATATGAGTGGATTCTTCTCAGGATCTAAAATCTTCACATTAAAAGCTTCTTCATGTGCCTTGAAGGGACCTAGGGTTGCAGACATCATAATATCTAGGATCCCCAACTTTTCAGCAAGTACATGATCAGGGCTAATGCTTCCCTCAGGAAAGTAGAATTCCTTCACCCCATCTTCTAAATTTCTTAGCTTCTCATGCACTTCTTCAAGGGCTTTCCCCTGTGCTTCCTTGCCATCATTGAAGAGTCTGGCCATACTCGTTAGTAGCTGCACTGATAAGAGTTAATTGTGCACATATCTATCAGACGAGAAGAAAATTTATTGGAATGAAAGATAAATACCTGTTGGATGTAAGCAGCCCAAAAACGAACTTTGGCTCTTTGATATGGATCCTTAGGCAGGAGTTGAGGTCCACTTGGCCAGGTTTCATCAATGTATTCAAGAATAAGGAGTGATTCACATACTGGTTTTCCATTATGGACAAGAATAGGGACCTTTTTGTGCACTGGATTGTATTTGAGGATCAATGGACTCTTGTTGCTCAATTCCTCTTCAACGTACTCAAAGGGTATGCCTTTGATTTTCATAGCCAATTCCACTCTCTTCACAAATGGGCTAGACCACATTCCGTGCAGAACTACTTTGCTTTCCTCTCCCATCTTTCTTTCTCTAACCAAATTCTTCAGCATGATGTCTATAGGTACTAGTATCATATAAGGTTTTAACAGTTTCCCTAGCAAGTTTCCTACCCTGTCTCGTAAAAGAAGAGAAAATGAGAAAAAGAGGTCTCTCTCCTTTTTCGATGCCCAAGAATGAATTGAATATAGCTGTTGGTACTGCATAGAGCAAATTATTTAGATGGTCATTAAACTTTTGCAATCGTCAAGTTTTTGTCATTCAACTATTAAAAGTCTGGTTTTGGTCACGAAAATATATAAAGTTAAGGTTCTAAGTCATTCTGTTAGATTTAGTCGTTAAGTTTGCTGATCCGTTTATCCGCACGATTTCCAAGACAAAAAAAGGGTCAATTTAGAAATTTCAACATGCATCTTCTTCTTCTTCTTATTGTGAAGCACCCGGCTTATTGATTCGATCAGTCCGACGGGTTCGACTCCATACCCAATATGCATGTTGAACAAAATCTCCATACCCAAAAGTTCTGGGTGGTTGACATACAAGACACGGATAGAGAAGAAGAAGAAGATGCATGTTGAACTTCCTAAATCAACCCCTTCTTTTGTCTTGGAAATCGTGCGGATAAACGGATCAGCAAACTTAACGACTAAATCTAACAGAATGGCCCGAAACCTTAACTTTATACATTTTAGTGACCAAAACCAGACTTTTAATAGTTGAGTGACCAAAACTTGACGATTGCAAAAGTTTAGTGGCCATCCGGATAATTTGCTCTACTACATATTATTACGGGGAGAGAAGCCACTGCAGTTGGGGTCCGATTTGGTTCGTGCGGTTATTAAGATTTTTATATTATTTGATGTATAATTACTTACATTATTACATTCTAAATAAAATATTTAGCATATATTCAGTGCAAAATTATAATGTATTTGTGCACTAAAAATTTTAAAAATGTACAGTAATTGGACGGAACCGCACAAAAAACAATTGAATTGAGTCCTTGTCCATTATTAAGAGATTAAGTGGATATGAAGTATTTTAGTAGCATATAAAAGACAAGTGGGTTTCATCAGTAAGTGCTATCTGATCACTTTCCAAAGTTTGATTATTAACTTAATTCAGTTTGACTTAAAAAATCTTGAAACTCACATGGGTCGGTGGAAATTGCATGGAGAAACACAAAACACCGGAGAGAAGACTCGCTCTCACAGTCATTTTGCTCTTAGATTCTTTTCTTGAAAAATCAAGGGTTAATAACAGTTTGCTCCTTTAAGGTTTCTGATAGTCATATTCTGTTCCCTGAACAGTAGAAGCATACACTTTAACTGTAGCAATAATAATGTCATTTAACAAAAGTTAGGTCCCAGAAATTAAAGATTCTAGATTCAAATTCATTCCTCCTCTCCGCCTTTTAAATCTCACTATTTCCTTACTAAAAAATTAAAAAAAAGGAAAGGATTTGAGCTCATCTCAAATTTAAGTGCAAATTCTCTATGTTTAGAGTAGTACAATTCCCAATGAACCCTTCTTTGTTTTCCTTTTATATTCAATAATTTTGATTTCTTTGTAGAAATATATATATATATATAAGCTAATTACAATCGTAATTTTTGTTGGGACAAATGGAGGCTAAAAGCCAAATCAATAGAAACCATGCTACAATATTTTTTTTTTTTTTTTTTTTTTTGAAAAGAACCATGCTACAACCAACTCTCTGTCGGGCGAGTTGGCTGCCAAGTGAAATATAAGATATAGGCGTGGCAGTAGGTCAGAGGTCACCGAAAGGTGTACAGTGGTGCACCCTACAATAATTTACCAAATTCTTCCAAAGAATATGTTAGAAAAGTTACTCCATGTGGCATACTAAGACTAAATTATTTGTAGCATTCGCTTAAAATACTCTCCTTCCATATGTGATGCAATATATACTCCGGACTAAGAAATGCTTTTCTTTTCTTTTCTTTTCTTTTTTCCACAGAATGTTGATAAATTCAACAGCCTAATTAAATAAGTGTTATTATAAAACCAAAGAGCCATCTACACTAAATCATCTCGTAATAAATCTTCTGAAATAATCCAGTCAACCCATCCAACAAGTGGTTAAGTAGAAGCATATTCCAAAATTTTGGGGTGAATTGACTACCTCCAAATGAGCGCTTAAAGAGAGAAGCTTGGGAAACAAAGTCTTAGATGATGTGGTGGCAATCAAACTTGTCTTGTGCAAAGCATTGGAACAGCAGTGGAGTAAACTTAAGCTCCAATTCCAGAACAAGGAACTAATGAGACAATTAACGCAACGGAGATCCTCGGATAGCAGAATAGCTTCTTTGATTGAAGACATTTCTAACATGAAGAAGGTGTTTCGCATGTGCTCTTTTTGTTCGGATAGTGAAGATAGTATGGAAAGTAGTAAACAACTTAGCTCCTATCCCTTAGGCATTCTTTTGGATGAGGAATGGAATTTTCCTTAGTGTCATTGAACACTAAATGTACAGTTTATCAAGCCTTTGCTCGCACATGTAAGTTCCATTACACTGAATGAAATTATCTTAACATTTAAAAAAAAAAAAAAAAAGAAGGTCCCTAGCCCAGTAACAGCATCCTGATTGCATGGACAGTCAATGGAAAATTATGTGACGTATTTATTTACTGAACTCAAAGAAGAAGTTTTCTTAGACGAGTTGACTTCAAATTCGTGTGTAGGACGTTGGGAAAAGGCAAATAAAAGGTAGTTTCCTAGTTACTGGGCCTTGGGCTTAGTAAAGCTAACTCACTCAGCGCTGAATCGTAATTGCATGTTTCATAATTTTTAGAGTTTAAAAGCAAGTAAACACCACAAAAATTTGTTCATTTGTTAGCTCTAATTTCTTATTAATGGAAAATTTCATTATCTTACTTATCTAAATGTTTTTCGATACACTCTTTCTTGTATAACTTTTTAATTATGCAGGAAAATAGGAGCTTTATTACCAAACTAAAAGAGAACAGCAAGTACAGAATACACAAGGAGGAAAAATAACGGTAAATTCTGTAGTGTATTCAGCTAATCCAAGACAGGTGTGGAAAGGTAAAAAATATGGCAAAGAAGTCGGCACGTTGCAAGCTGACATGTACGGACGATGAAGGGAATATTTCTACAAAAGCAAATGGTGACCTATAACAGGCGCGGGTGGTTTGGAAATGTTGCGTACTGCAGAAGCTGGAAATGTATTGGGGTGTCACAGAATTAACATAAATATAATGGGTTTAGGAATAAAACACTAAAGATGAAGCGTAAGCAGTACTAAACACAGCCATGCTTGGCTTTGAAGCAACATATGGTCATTATTGAATAACGACTCGAGGGCCTTTAAGAAGTAAAACTTAAGAAAATAAATGTTTGAAATATTAAGTTTTTTAATTATGTAATCTATTTTGATTATAGAAGTTCTAATATATAGTCATTTGGAGGACTTCTAGAGCTGAAGTACTGAATCCTTTTTGGACTTTTAATAAATTTGAGTTATTTTTCTTTTGGTTTCTCACTTTTCTAACAACTTTTATCTAACCTACTAAATTTGAATTATTGAAATTTATTTTAATTGTTATATTAGTAAAATATTAACATTTGTGGAAACTGGGTTCATGGGAAGACAGATTGTTGCCTGTTTCACATTTAATTGAATACAAATATCTCTACTTTACATAAAACGTCCAAAATTGAGGAACAGTGGATTCCAATTGATTCTCCCAATTATGGGCATTACATCAACAAAATACTATCTATTTATGGGCATTTTACTCTGAATCATTACATTTATGTAAAATACATAAATGTTTGTAACTAAAATTGAAAAACTGTTACTCTGATATTTTTACGAAAGGGGAACTAGTAGATTTTGTATTTAACAAATTTTAAATATGTGAAAGTAAAAAAGATTGTGCCCATAATATACCAGCTCTTTATGAGTTTTTTTGCATTACATCAACAAAATACTAGCTATTTATGGGCATTTTACTCTAAATCATTATATTTATGCAAAATACATAAATGTTTGTAACTAAAATTGAAAAAGTGTTATACTTATATTTTTACGAAAGGGAAACTGGTAGATTTTGTATTTAACAAATTTTAAATATGTGAAAGTAAAAAAGATTGCGCCCATAACATACCAGCTCTTTATAAGTTTTTTGCATTACATCAACAAAATACTAGCTATATATGGTATTTTACTCTGAATCATTATATTTATGTAAAATACATAAATATATATAACTAAAATTGAAAAAAATTTTACACTTATATTTTTATGAAAGGGACACTGGTAGAATTTGTATTTAACATAAATTAAATATGCTAAAGTAACATTACAGGTGATTTTATTAGTTACTTAATTTGTTGGCAAAAAACAAGGTTTCTTTTGTAAAATTTGTTCATTAGATTTTTCCAAATAATTAGGGTATAAAGGTAAATTTTCACAATCTTTTGCTAGCAATAGGCCCTATTTTGACTCCATTCGTTAAAAATGACTCCATTCGGTTCTACCCATTTTTTGTTAGGTAAAACCGTTGGTTCTAATGGTCAATTCTTCATTTCCCGTCAATTATCCCTAATTGGCCAAAATTACGGAACATTGAGGATGCCTTTCTGCAACCCCAAAATTTTTTTGCCAATAATTCAACAGAGCAAAAAGAGTATTACTATAGTTTAAGGAGTAAACTGCAATTAAGTAGTTTAAGGAGTAAACTGCAATTAAGTATATAGTTAGTCATGATTTTATTGCGTTTAACCCCAACAATTAACGTTAGACATAGTGTATTCTGGTGCAAAAACTTCAATTATTATGAGCACTGGTTATGACACACCGAATGGGTGTGGTAATAATAAAAAATTATGATAAAAAATTAGTTTAAATGTCAAGCAGACAAAGGTACTTGAAAATACTTCCACATTAGTGCTTAATAAATAGTTGGCAGTTTGTTTTACTGTAACCAATTTTGTTTCCAAAACTTTTAATAAATGAAAACCAATTTTGTTTCC